ATTTTTTCCCACTATAGAAAATGATGCACTTACTATCCTTATTGATACATTTTTGTGCACATCTTTAATTATTTCCTTAGGATAAATTCCAAGAAAAGGAATTGCTGGGTCAAAAGGTAAACAATTTTTTTAAAGCTTTTGATAAATATTGCCAAATTGACATTCTCACCTGCTTCCTTGAGCCCTTGCCAAGAGAGTTTTGTCATGCCTTTTCAATCTTTGCAAAGTTTACTGGAGAAAACAGTATGCCATTTTAATTTCCCTTTCTTTACTACTGAAAACATTTTTCATATTTATTGGCCATTTGGATTTCTTCTTTTATGTATTTTCCTATTCCCATCCTTTGCACATTTTTCTAGTAAAATACTTGCATTTTTCTTATTGCTCTGTAAATCTTTTTGTATTAAGGATAATGAGTCTTGTTCCAATTGTTTCTAGTTTTCTCATTAACTTTATTTATGGTTTTTTGCAGAAATTTCAGATTTTCATATAGTTTATTATATTAACCTTTTTCTTTATTATTCTACCTTTGATATTATGCATATAAATATCTTCCCTACCTCAAGATTATATATTTGCCTATTTTGTTTTTAGTTCCTTTATCATTTCTCTTTTTTTTTAACTTCTAATTCTTTAATGCAGCAGTTCCCAAACAGGATTACACATCAGAATTCCTTACAGAGCTTCTTTTTTTTTTACATATGTAAAGGTATAGACACACTGAAATTCTTTATTGCTAACACTGCTTTGACTTTTACATTTCATGAAAACAACATTAACTATTTCTTATGCTATAAATATTTTAATGATTTTCAAATACTACTTTATATTTTAGAAGACAATCCCATGATCATGAAAGCACTAGAGAAATCTATAGCAGATGTTCTATGATGATAGTTTCACCTGTTATGCATGTGTCCTCTGGAAAAAAAGTATATGCCTTTAAGACTAAATTTTTGTGCCCTATCCAAATGCAGAGGTAATTTTAAGTAATAACAAGAATAATAGAGAATGGTCTTTTTTTTGGTTTTAATTTTAGTAAAATTGTAATGGAGTCTGAGAGCCAAGACCACTAACATATCTAATCATTTCATTTTAGTAAAGAGAACTTTGACAAAAACAGCTGATTGTTTCCTTTTGTCTAGACAAAATCATTTCTTACAGAGCTTCTTTAAATGCTCAGGTCTTAAGACTGGATCACAATTTAGGGGGATGAGACCTGAGCAGGAATATTTTTAAAAGCATCACAGGCAATTCTGAAGCACTCTAAGAAACACAATTTTAACCCTCCTAAATTTATGTTGCCATCATTTTTCCAAATTACTTCAGCACATTTGTTAAAGAAATAATTTCATGAATTTGAAATGCTGCCTTTCTCCTAGTTGGTAAGGTCCACGAGAGCAGAGATCATACCAGTTTTTACTGACCACTGCATCTCTAGGGCCCCGCATCATGCCTGGTACACAACTGGTACTTAATAAATGGTAATTGAATAAATAAATCACACCTGACAACACAAATCTCCAAGCTCATCCCACCCCAAATTGGCTCGTCTTCTCTTCAATATTTTCTTGACGATTAGACCAATAAAACTGATGCCATTAATGATGACACTGAGTTATCGAAAATATTAAATTATGCCCAGTAATCTGTTTAAAGTGGCCAGGAAATGTTTTACAGGGCTCCATCAAATAAAGCCAAAATACTAAAGTTGGCCATGTTTAAGAGGTATGGGAATTATGATCAAATTCTCCATGGAGGAACCAGACAGCATTGACCAGAGAGACCAAGTGGACGCGGCTTCCTCCAGCTCTCAGAATTCCTCATCTAGCTCCAGAGACTGACTCGGAGCTCGCTGGAGCTGAGGATAGACCCACACATTCCCTCTTCCACTAGCCCAAGGAAAGAAAATTGGAACAGGAATCAGAAGCCCCGGGTTTTAGTCCTGTCACTACTATCAACCTGTTTGACCGCGGGCATGTCACTTCACCTCTAGGGGTTGAGCTAGATGTTTTCTAAGGATCTCTTCAGATCTAAACCTCTACCTAAAGACCCAAACAGACTACCACAGGGCAGGGCTTCCAAGGACAACCTGAAATTCCCTCCACAGAACAGAGTCCAGTCCCACCCCAGGCTATAGCAAAATAACAGTGATAACAAAAGCAGTAGTAGAAGTAGTGGTAGTAGGAACAGCAGAAGCTATTGCTAATTTTACTATGCACTTATTATATGCTAGATAATATTCTGAAAGTCTTACTATTAATAATAATGACACACACTTATATGGCACTTACTATGTTCCAAGTGCTTTGCATATATTAACTCAATTAATCTTCACAACAACCCTATAAGGTGAGTTCTCTTATTATCCCCATTTTACAAAGGAGGAAACTGAGACACAGAGAGGTTAGGGGACTTCCCCAAGGTCTCACAACTACCAAGTGATGGAACCAACAGAGTTGAACCCAGACCCCTACTTTTAACTACTATATCATACTGCCACCCATACCATCGTTGTACTATGCTTGTCACTTCAGAGGTTGCACAAAACAAGGAAGAAGATGCAGTTACTCATATGGAATACTTCCCTCTTCACTCATGCTAGAAATATTAGGTTTTACTTCAACGTAATTTTAAGCAGATCAGATTTCAGGGCCTGAGAGAGCAAAATACGTTATTTATTAAGAAAATATGACATTTGATTAGGAATTGTTATCCATTAAAATGTTTTTATTATAAAATAAATCATTAACGGGCCGGCCCCGTGGCTTAGCGGTTAAGTGCGCGTGCTCCACTCCTGGCGGCCGGGGTTCAGATCCCGGGCGCACACCGACACACCGCTTCTCCGGCCATGCTGAGGCCGCATCCCACATACAGCACCTAGAGGGATCTATGACATACAGCTATCTGCTGGGGCTTTGGGGGAAAAAAGGAGTAGGATTGGCAATAGATGTTAGCTCAGAGCCGGTCTTCCTCAGCCAAAAGAGGAGGATTAGCATGGATGTTAGCTCAGGGCTGATCTTCCTCACAAAAAAAAATAAAAAAATAAAAAACAATAAATCATTAACTACTAATGGCATTTCCATTACACATAGAGAAAAAACACAAGCTCTTTATGCATCATTAGGAACAAAACTTTATACCCCACCTGCACAAACTTCAGTTCCATACTTTCAGAACTGTCTTTTACTCAGTGACCTGACAGCCCACAGGTGCCTCAAAACGAAACAGGCCAAACCAAACTCGGTACACTAACTCCCACAATCCCCATGCCCTTCTCACCTCCTCCCATGCTCCCCATCACAGTGAATAGCACCACCAGCCCCAGGCCCCCAAACTGGGTGTCAACCCAGGCTTGTTTCCCCCCACACCCAGTCACAAAACATTCCTAGAATTCATCCTGTTCTCTCTATCCTTGCTGCCCCTGCTGTTGCTCAGACTCTCATTATCTCTTCTCTAAACCACTAGACCAGAAACCTCCCAACTGGCTCTTAGCTTTCTTTCTCTCCAGCTCCAACTCCACCGCAACACTGATGCCAAAATAATCTTTCTAAAACAAAATCTGATTATGTTACTTCCCTGTTTAGAATCTTTGTCTTCAGGATAAAGTGTAAAATCCTTCCTAGAACACACAAGGTTCTTTATTATCTGGCCTCCAACTACCTTCCTTGCTTCATCTGAGGTCGTGCCCCACACATCTCACACGAGACAAACAGAGCCACTTGGAAGTTTCCAAACAGTGCTTCTCTGTCTGCCCAGAATGCAATTCTCTCATTTGCCCATCTGGCAAACTCCCACTCATTTTTTTTCAGACCAGCTCAAAACTCAGAGTTCATCACGCTTTTCTCTGGACTTCCATCGCATTTTGCACCTCTCCCTATTATAACACTTATTCAACCTAACACAAGTATTTGTTTATATGTCTGTCTTTCCGGTAAGACATCGAACCCTAGGGTTCCGTGTCTTATTCATCTCTGTATCCTGTTTGTTGAGGGAAAGAATGTCTCAGGATTTAAACAAGACTACCTAAACTGCTCCTGATAAATGCCCATTGTGTGAGTCAAAGCGGGCACACAGGCCGAATCCCATTTCAACAAATATCTTTAAATTGACAATCCTCGTACATCAAAAATACTTGTTACATGTGTGTGCCTACAAACTTGAAACCATTACCAACAGGAGATAGTCTTAAAAGATCTATTAGACCACCAACAAACCTACCTGGTGAATATTTACAGATATTTGAGCTCTTTCCTTCTACTCCGTCTAAGTGGTCCTTAACCTTTTGTGGGTCACAGACCAACTGGGGTAGTGTCTGTCTACCATTTCTTAAACCCACACTCCCTTTTGATAAATATAAAAATCCCACGCACCCTGGAGATTCTGATACTCTCCCAAAAGGCACAATCCTCAACTCCACCAAAAATAAAAAATAACTTTATATGTGATAGGAATTTACAGGTTCACAAGAGATGTAATCCATCAGGCAACATATCATTGAGCTTTGCTCTTGCGAAGTTCATAGCATTAACACAGGCATTTTCCTTCTATCACCAAATATAAACATTATAACATTAAATATACTTCAAAGTCTTTATTGGGAAGAGGAAGGCAGGGAGGCATTGACATCTGTCTCCCCTACCTTTGAGAACCTTATGTGAGAAATTTGCTGGAAACAAATGAAAAACACAAATACAAAAAAATGTCCTCCGTTTCCTCACATATAACCCTCATAAGCACATGTTCAAACAAAAGGAGTTCTTTGAAAATGCTTCTTGCACTACATTTTCCTGTTACTCCTCCCCCATCCCCATTTTAAAATAATTTGAACTTCTAGCTAGCAGCAATTTCTTTTAAACTAATATGCTTTGTCCTTGCGAAAACAAAGGGTTAAATTAAAGAAACAGCTGGCTGCCTGCCACTGGCTTGGGGGGTTGGGTAGGGATGGAGGATAAGGAAGGAGGAAAAACCAGTTAGAGGAATAACTGCTAATTTCTTACCCTGCCACATGGCCATCTTGATCTTATCCTCTCCCACGTTGGGGTCACAGGCTCAGAGTTTCCCAGGGCCCCCCAGTTTTGTAAGGAGGCTTAAATAAGATGTAGATGGAATAGCAGCTGTGTGGCCTTGCTTTCTGCAAGATTCTCCAGCCCTGAACCTGAAAACGTAAACAGAAAAACGAATACCTAAATGAAAAAACTATTTTGAAGCCTTCAAAATCATTTCCCGTCCCTCTTTGAACCTCTCTTTCAAAGATATGCAGACACAGGCAGTGTCAAGTTTCCCCCTAAGCAGCAAGGTATCTCTAAAGAAAGAGAATAGGGAGATCTAGAGTCAGTTAATATTGCCACTGAGTGCTGTCCAACTCTGCATGAACCACTGGATCTTCAGTAAATAGGTTTCGGAATCTCAGAGGATGGGTGATTGGATGAGATAACCGTTAAGTGTGTTTTCTATCTTGAAGTTTCACGCTTTGGAGACTGAAGAACAGCATAATATCCAGTGCCCTCCCCAGACCCCCAATTTTACGTTAAAAAAAAGTAGAAAGAGAGCAAATGTTGTGACTACTTCAAGTTTTACAATAGATCTTGCATAGGAAAAGAAAAGCAAGGAAACATGATAAAAAGAGTGATGCCCTCTCGGTCGTGGTGCTTCGTCTCCGCTTCATTCCACTTCCCCACACTTTGCCAGTGTCCTACAGGGAGCATACATTGCTTTTCTAATCTGGGGGAAAAGGAATCAAAGAAAAAGAAAAACATAAAAATACAATACTAATTTAAGTAAAACCAAATTAATTCAGCTAATTCCTATTTTTAAAACATCAAATTCAGTCTTAGGACAATACTATTTGCAAGCATATGCAAGGCGCTAGGAATGGGAGAAAAAAATGAAAAGTCTGACTACTTCGTTTGATTCAGAGGTTTAATGTATTAAACACGTTGCTTGTCCATTTAAAAGAGTTCTTAACAAAGTGGTCTTCCTTATTTAGCATACAAGCCAATCTGCTTTTTCTAAGAAAAAGTCCTCACCTTTTTGACCTGGCTAACATCAAAGTAGATTGCTATTTCCATAGCTTTTATACAAGCAACACCTCCATCCCCAAAGCGAAAGCGCTCACACACAGAGACTGAAAGCTAATACGAACTTCAGAGTCATTATTTTGGCCTTCTCTAACGACTTTTTTTTAAGGACAAAAGTGTGAATGTGTACACTAGTCCCAAAAACAGGAATAGAGAAAAGATAATGCTTTGGCTACAGAAAGGCTCGCGAAGTCCAAGAAAACTAGGAACTCACCAAGTCCCAGGATGAATTCACCAGGAAAAAACGCTCCGACGGCTTATCTGGAACCTGGAATAGTTTGTTTGGGTTTGCCTTTTTTCTCTCTTATTTCGCGTGCAGTTAAATAGTACTGATCCGCGCCTCGTGGGACCAGGCGAAATTTTACATCCCTGAAGTCAAACCCGGGTAGTTGCTAATAAATGTATGAAGTTTATGTAAAGCAGATTCTTAATGGCTCTTTATGCTCTACACTTCTGGATTGCCCTTACTTATTCGGGGTGGCTTACACTGACATTATCACACGGGCTGACGTACAACTTCACTTGGGACTCCAGGAAACTGATTTGCTCTGAAACATTACTAAAGGTAACGCGCATCAATGTGAAGGTAAAGCTTGCCCCTTCGGGGTGAAGGCGCTCAAGCGCTAGCCCGGAAAGTCTGGAGAGAACCAGCTACCCGCGTTAAGTGGGAAAAGGAAAACTCGCAGCAACCACTTTTGCGGGAGTTTGGACTCCACTTCGCTAAGACCCACACAAACCTGCGAACCCCGAGCAGGAGAGAGAAGAACGGGGCCTCGACAGAGCTTTGCCAGCCAAAGCCACCCTGCCCCAGTCCTGGAAAGGGGACGCCTGCAGCTAAACTCCCCCATTCAAAAGCGGGGCAGGCTTGGCGCCGCTCCGCGAGAAAACTTCGCTGGGACAGCGCAGGGACCCTTGCTCGGAGAATAGGGCTGGGCTCCCGGGAAGATGCCGCCCTGCACTGGCTAGAACCAGCCGGTCTAACACCTCCGAGTGCCAGGCGGCGGGGGCCGGGCACGGGGAACCGCCAGCTCCAGGAGCCCGAGCCAGCAGGGGAGCGCTTCCCCTGTGTCGCTGCACCCAGGGGGTGCTCCGGGGGTGGGCCGGGGTCCAGCGGCCCGCGAAGGACCTGTTGGGGAAGGGACAGCCTGTCTGTCTTTACCTGTCGCCGAGGTCAGGAGCGGCGGAGCCCGTGTCCGCCGCTGGCGGGCCAGGCGCTCAGTCGGCTCTGGCGTCTAGGACATCAAGTTGAGTTAGCGCCCCACGTAGCCGGCAGAGCTTCATTCACAGCCCAGCCAGGAGGAGGGGGAGCGGAGCGGGCGCGCGGCTCATGTGACAGGCGCCTCGCAAGTATCGGCCAAGCACAGCCGACATCTGCGCGTGCGCGCCCGGCCAGCCCTCTCCCCGCGCCTCGGCCGAGCCGCGGAAGGGGTGATGCCAGGCAGGGAGGCGGCCGGGCGGAGGAGGGGGAAGAAGGAGGTGCTGGGAGGTGTTTCCGCGTGCGCAACCGCAGTAGGTCGGCCCTGCTCGCTGCCATATTTAATGAGGACTGGGCGGATCCTAACCCAGTGCTGGGCGTGCCAATTGCTTTTGAAAAAGAAATGCTCCATTATGTTTCGTTGTTTCAATCCTGCGGTACGTTTTTTTTGGATTTGTCCTTAGAATGAAACTGTTTATCCTAAGCTGCTGACCCACAGAATAATTAGTAGTGGAAATCTAATACTAATTATAGTATTACGTATTTTGAGCCTCTAATTATATGCCAGGCACTGTGCTAAGCCCTTTGCTTTTTTCATCTCCTTTAATGCCCACAATAACCCCACTGCGTACGTACTATTATTTCTCCACTTTTATTCATAAGAAAACAGAGGCACAGAAAGGTTACGTAACTTGTCCGAGCTCACATAATAGTAGAAGTAAGAATAGTGATCAAATATAGTGGTGCTTGTAACAGCCAATTTGAGCCTTATTGCAACACTAGAAAATCTACAATATTGTCTCCATTTTAATAACTACAAAACGGAGGCTCAGAAAAGCAAAAATCACAGGACTAGTAAGTGGTAGAACTGGGATTCCAACCTAGGTCTACCTGACTCCAAAGCCCTTGCTCTAGGATTGGAAGAAACAGCCCCTAGTTTTACAAAAGAGAAAACAGGCCAATGGGGTGCGTTGACTTACTTAAGATGATCCAGCTAATTAGTTATTGGCTGAACTGAGACTGGAATCCATATTATCAATCCAGATAATCTAACTAGAACCCCAATGCTCTAATTAAGAGTCTACTGTAGTGAACAATTTTGAATGCCTACTTTGGGCAAGCTAAGTGGCCAGGGATACAGAACCTGTACCCTAGCCAGGTCAGCATAAGGCCACCAAGGACAAATCTGTAATCCAAAAAATCAGGCTTTTTGACCCATTTCAATGATGGAGACCACACCCCAGAGAAACCATGGGGCATCTCACCATAGGAAAAGAGTCTTTATAAGATTTGGAGGAAGGGTGGAGTTTAGGTGAATTTTAAATGAAGCATTGTTTTGGTAACCTTAAAACAGGGCTGTGTGAAGGGGTCAACATCAGGTCTGGACTGCAAAGTAAACCCAGAGTCCTGTTTCCTTGGGAACCACAGAGTAAAGCTAGGTGTGGGATGTTGTGTCCAGAAACCCCTTATCTGAAGCTCTGCACCTGGAGTGGAAATCACGGCTGCCTCTCTGTGTCCAAGAAACTTATATCCTCCAGACAAATGTGGGATGTTTTATTCTCACTAATATGATTTCAAGCAGCGACGTTTCTGATAGTCTATGATTGTACAGAACAAAGTTTCTCAGTGAATAAAAACAAAGTGGTGGTCACTCAAATAAGGGGATGGTTATCACCTAACAGCTGCAGCATGTCTTTCAGAGAAATATTGTTCCCTGTTAAATTAGCAGCTGGCTTTATCTGAGTCTGTTATTCCAGCCTGATGAATGGCCGGACTTTGGCTTTCTCAGTCCAAGCTAATTTTTACTTTCTCATCTGGTGGCATTTAGTCCCTGCCTTCAGGCACTCATAGTATATGGGGGGAAGGGGAGGGGTAGGTGGGTGGTGGTGATGCCCATAAGTAACTAGAAAGGATCTGGGCAGGTTGTGCTACGTCCTCTGATAAAGGTAAATCCAAGTGGAGATAACACCTTGTGCAAAGATGTGCAGGTAGGAAATCACATATGAGGACCTGTGAGTAGTCCTGTGTGGTTGAAGCTTAGGGTAGGGAAGTGTAGGGGAGTTGTGTGAGATATAGAAGGTAAACTGAGGCTCAGTTTTGGATGATCCTGAATGTTGGACTGAGATTTGTGCTTAATTCAGAAAGTGATTGAAAAAGAATTAAGGTTTTTGAGCAAGGCAATCTCTTTATTTGAACTCTTCTTTTTTTTTTCAATTGAGATATAATTGACAAATAACATTATGTTTCAGGTGTACGACATAATGATTTGATATTTGTATATATTGCAAAATGATCACCACAATAAGTCTAGTTAACATCTGTCGCTTTTCTATAAAAAGGTGAATCTGGGGGGATTGTTCAGGGAGAGGTTTGTTTGTTTGCTTTTTTTGTCATTGCAGGATAGGAGAAACTGGACCTTATTTGTAGGTTAAGCAGGAAGAGCCACTGGTGAAACAGAAATTGAAGAGTCAAGAAAAGGAGGGGAGGGGCTGGCCTGGTGGTGTAGCAGTTAAGTTCGCATGCACTGCTTCGGTGGCCCGTGGCCCAGGATTTGCAGGTTTGGATCCCGGGCACGGACCAATGCACTGCTTGCCAAGCCATGCTGTGGCAGCGTCCCATATAAGGTAGAGGAAGATGGGCACAGATGTTCTCCCAGGGCCAATCTTCCTCAGCAAAAAGAGGAGGATTGGCAACAGATGTTAGCTCAGGGCTAATCTTCCTCACAAAAAAAGAAAAGAAAAGGAGGGGCTAAATAATGGAGTACATAATACATGGGGAGATAGAAATGAGATGCAAAAATACAAGCTAACCTTGAAAAAGACGCCTCTTCCTCTGAGACAAGAAAAAAGGGTTAAAGGACGGCAATATAGTCAGAAGCAGACTTGTCATGAAGCTGTCTCTGTAGACAAGTATTTTGGCTTTACTTGGAATATACGTTTATTTGGGAGAGCTTGGGCAGGAGTGATTTACGGCGAGTATGAGAGGGATGCAGTACACCCATGTTACCACTTGGTGTCGCCACTGACCACTGACAGCTTGGAGGGCGCCTGTTGGGGATTTTAGTTCATTTCAAAAAAAGAACATTTTATCTTTTCCGAATTGCAAAACAAAACAGTTATGAGACTGGGCTCTGGAGCCAGACTGCCTGGGCTCAGAACCAACCAGACTCAGACCGGTATCCGAACCTGCGAGCCCCAGGCAGCCAAAGAGGAGCGCCACACTTAACCTCTACGCCACCAGGCCAGCCCCTAGCATTGTTTGTAATAACAAAAAATGAGAAACAAGCAAATGTCCATCAATAGAGGACTGATCAAATAAATAATGGCACATCTATCTAATGAGAAAGTTCTTTATGCATGTATGTGTAAAATTCTATGAAAAAAGCAAGATATGGAGCTGTGTACTTTCTCAATTTTGTGGCATGGAAGTGTATTACCTATTGAATTATATATCTCAAAAAAACAATGTGGAAAAGTCTGTCAAGGATAGTGTTTAGATTGAAGAGCCAGTTGGTTAGCTTACTGCCTTAGTGCCAGCTAAAGAAAGATCCTGTTAGCCTGTGAGCATATACTGGAAAGTGTATGACATGAAAAACTCCAGTCTTTATAGTTCTCTAATTGGGCCCAGCATCATTTTTGACTGATGGTTTTCACGAGAAATTTTACTTTTTAAAAATCTCATATCAGATTGCCCTCTATTTGAGAGTAGTCCAATTTCTATCTGGATGAGAGCTGCTAGTATTCTAAGGGGGTAAATATGAACATTTGTTTACGGAGTGGTTTTGAGGATTTGCAGGTCTCTCATCTGTAAGTTCATCCAGCTCTGTATAGCCTTCTGTTCCATGAAGGGGTTGAAGCACATGGAATGTGGTAGTGGTTTCTTGAAACCACTGTGATACCTGTCCACCCACTAGCATTAGAGCTCCTTGAGGGCATGGTCCATGTCCTAAACTTCCTTTATATTCATCACGGCAGTGCTCTTCATTTGTGGGGAAGGACCAATTTTCCCCCAAATCCATCATGTACTGATACTTTTATAAAATACAATAAAAATGAATTACTAGAAAAATGAAATCAAAACAAAAACATACAAAATACAAGCCCAGTTCTTCTATGATTATATTCAACAGACATAAAATTACTCTGTCAAATTGTTGTTAAGGTTTTGAAACATTTACTCCCAATTTCTCATCACGGACCAGTAATAAACAGTTTGTGGACTGGCACTGGGCCGTGGACCATACTTTGAGTAGTACTGCCTGACAGCACTACCACAGTGCCCAGCTCATTGTAGGTATTCAATAAATGCTGGGTTTAATACATCATCCTTATAGTGTTTTCTACTTTGTAGAGTGTTTTCACATATCTTTCCCCTTCTATCCTCACACCACCTACAGAGTTAAGTGGAGCAGATTTTATCATTCCCATTTGACAGAAGAGGAAGTTGAGGCATGCAGATTAAGTGTTCTGCCTGGTCTGAAACAGCGACTTAGTGTCAGAGCCCAAATTAGTCTATGACTCCTATTGCATTTTGTGGCAGCGGCACTAAGAAAGCCCTCCAGTCAAAGAGAGCTTCCAAAGAGTTCCACCAGTTAGAAAAGAGAAGACTTGCCTTCGGCTTTCCACATGACAGCAGGTTGACAGAGTGGTGTAATAGAAAGAGCAGAGACTCTGGAATCAGAGAGCTAGTTTGGAATCCAGGCTTGAGCAAGAGATTTTACCTTTGAGCCTGTCTCCTTATCTCTAAGATGGGATAATAACAGCTTCTCCACAAACTTGTACTAAGAACTAAATGGTGACTGTAAATAGCCAGGCACGTAGTTCAGAAAGAATGGTTATTGTTAATATTAGGCTCAGTTTAGAAGGCCTGTGGTGAAGGGCTGGCTCTGTAATCTAATCACGTGGAATGCACGCCATCTTCTGGTGGAGTAAAGAACGTGGCTCTGGGAAGGGAATGTCACTGTCTGTAGGAAGGGGATCAGTGAATCACGCCCTTCTTGTCTTTCGGTTTTTGCATTGGCTACTAGAAAGCTTGGAGCCAAATGTTTGGATCACCTCTTGCAAGTGAACAGGACTTTACAGATTGTATTTTGTGTTAACTTCACCTCTAGCTCCATTTTATTTTTCTTATCCGTATTTTCTCTTGACTTGATTATCTCATTTTTTAATATATTTTTGTAGGTCATTTTAAATACCCTTTAGAATGTGCATAGTGGTGATTTATTAAACT